TCAACGTTGAAATTTGGTAGAAAAAAGGTTGCGACGTCGACAACCTAATATCTACGTTGTTCGGACATTGTTTTACAAACATTGGTTCAACAGCAGCCAACAGATGTTGAATTAACGTTAATTCATGGTTAAATGTACGACGTCGATTTGTGAACCAATCTCAACGTTGTTTTAACGTGGATTCAACGTTGAATTATGGTTGACGAGATTGGCAACCTAATTTCAACGTTGTTTCAAAGTCGAAACAGTAACGTCGATCCAATTTGCATAGTCAACCCTTTTTCAACGTCTATCCAACGTCTGGAAGGTCATTTCCAACGTTGATTCAACGTTGATTCAACGTTGATTCAACGTTGGATAAACGTCATTTTGCCCGCTGGGTACTGTGTATCTATAACTGAAAAGACAACGGCATTTGTCTACTTGTTAAAAGGATTCCTGTATGAAGAATGATAGAGCTTTGCAGTATTAGAGAGCTTCAGATTTTGACTTCCACTGCCGGTACAATTAATCTACCCATTTAACCAATCAAATGCGTTTTAACTAAACCTCTCTATTGTTTATATTAAATAAAATAAAATATATTAGCACTGATAAGCACTGTCATGAAGCAATGGTAAAAAATAGCGTGCAATTAAAAATTCTAACTACGATAAGAATTCATTGTAACTTTGGTTAATTAATATACAGCTACTTCAATTAAGGTTGTCCCGGAGCAAAGCGGAAAAATCGAATTCGCGCTCGTATTCGACTACTACGCTTTTCTCAGGGACAACCTTAATTGAAATAGCTGTATACACATTTTACATGAAAACACTAACCGGCAAATGGTTCCAATTCCTAAACCTTCGGGTAGCGTTGTTGGAAGATCTTTTAAGGAATGAACGACAAAATCAACTCTTAAATAAAACAAACTCAGAGTTACTGTATAGGTGAAACGGTTGTAAAAATAACAAGTTAAATAAAAACTTGTTTTAAAACAGAAGTAGTGAAAATGCAGACGAGAGTAAATTAGGTATTTGATTCTGACATGATGGAGGTAGAGAAATTCTGGCTGAGGACAAGGTAAGATTTCTATTCTTTTTTCTCTATTGATTACTACAAGAAAAAACATAGGAAATAGACAACGACAGAAACTGTAAATTATAAAAATTATATTTTTTGTGATAAAAACACGCATAGTTTGCGCACCAAGTTTCTTTCGTCTTGTCATGTTTTCTTTTGCCATGATAATAATTTTCTTACGTAACTGCATTCGGCAGTACAGTTCATTTTTTCTCGTTTAATTTATAGATTGATTGGCTGACGTGCATCGTTTACAATATATAGTTTACAACACTGTGGCCAACGTTAAAACCCTACAGTTTAATTTCTTACTATCATGTTTCATGTTTGAATGGTGACATTAAGTTACCAGTACGGCGGTACCTACAATCCTGATGGAGTGAATGTCATGTACTTAATAGAGAGGTTCAGATTTGACTACCGCTACCATTATAACCAATCAGACGAGTTTGGTATATCCGATTAACCAATCAGATGAGTTTCGTATATCCAATTAACCAATCAGAAGCGTACTACTAAGCCAGCAAGAGGTAGCGGTAGTGGAAGTGAAATTTGAACCTCTCTATTGATGAAAGAATGAAGCGACCAATGATATTGTGGAAAAGAACAGTCTTTGGCTGAAGACAAGTAATTTCACTTGACGTGCTGCTAAAATGTGATCATTATTAAAAGTTTAAGACATTATATTTTCAAATCTAGATCACAGAACAAAGAAACAAGATCATAGAACACTAGTTTTCAACAAGGATTAGGTCTGAATTATGTAGGTCTTACTCTAATTATACGTAAAAAAAACAAGATATCAAAATAAAATGAGTAACATTGAGTATTGCTAATATGCGAGGCAGCAAGGCAGAATCTGGGGAGGGAGGGAGCGGAAGACATCAGTTATGACATTTTCCCATTGTTACATATTTCTTACTTTTTCGCCTATTTTAATATGTGTCGTTCTTTCCTTTCACCATTTGTTCCATTTTTCAGTAGAATTGCCCAGTTTCTTATAGCACTATATATGCCTCATTTTTAACTAGAATCTGCCTGACTTGGAGCTGCAGCCCCCCGCCTATATGTAGCAAGGCATGCAAGGTAGAATTTGCTAATGTTTTAGCACCTTCCATCCAGTAAGGCATCTTCCAATTCTTTAGTAAACAATGCTTTCTCGCCAATCTATTGAAAAATGCAAAAACAGATTGCTGCAATGTTATACACGAAGGTTTTCATATATTCTGACAATGTTAAATATGATGAAACAACCTTAGGCAAGGCTTTATCCAGTACTTTATCACCCAATGTATCCAATGTTACTGCAAAAATTACAAAATGTCAATTTTAGTGACCTCAAATAATGTACTATATGCAACATATACATTATTTTGAGGTCACTGAATTTTATTATATCTGAAAAGCAATTGTGGCAATTTTAACAAGTAGGAAGTAACTAATATTATTACAAGTATAATTATTATATACCAATTTCAAAACTATATTCTGGAAATAACTTCTTCACTTCTCCAATTATAAATTTAGTCTGTATTAAAGCAAGCTAAAACGATTAAAAACAGCAATTAAAATTTAATAATTTAATACTCTTGTCAGTCTTGTGATACCCATATAATGCGAGTTAATTTTTCTGTTTTATCAACAAGTTATCAATTACACAGGGCCAGTTGTGTAAAGGCTTCTTTCTTCAAGATTTCATAAATTGGCTGTTGATTGGTATAGAGCATCTGCACTCATTCCCCAGGGACCAAAAGCCATGGCAGCCATGTTGGTGTTCCAGACAAAAGAGTCTAATTCAAGGGCGGATTTTCATTTTTTTTAGAAGAGGGGAGGAAACATTTCTAGTGGGGTGCAAGCGGCACCACTTAGCAACCTTTGGCAGGGTTTAGGCTTAAAGATTTTCACACAATATAGGAGGGGTGAAGTGAAATTTTGGTGGGGTTGAACACTTTATAAGAGGGGTTAGAGAGATTCTAGGGGGGGCTTTAACCAACCCTAACCTCCCACCCAGTAAATCCGCCTGTGGTCTAATTAAAATTATTTTGAATTGTAACACCAACATGGCGGCTGTGACGTCACGTGCAAACGCTTTATAACCCAGATATTCCAACAGGGTCTGTGTTTCTGTGTTAATTATTCACTTGAAAAGCTTTCCTTCATTCCCTTGTTCCCAAAGAGATTTCACCTTGTTCCCTATGATATTTGGTTATGTTCCCATTGCAAAATATGCCTTGTTCCAGTGGCAGTCACCCCCTCTTGCCCCTCCTCTCCTTGCATGGTAGCACCAAATATGTAATAGTGGATCAGAGGAGAGAAGAACTGTGTTAAGCCCCACCCCTGTGCAAACAAATTGGGTCTATATCCCCACCCTGGGCAATAATATCATTTGACTGTATAGTACACATTGATTTGCACATTATAATTCTATGGACAATATAAATGCGAACTACAAAATAGAAGTTCTACAACAAGAATAAAAATTATTTTATACTTATGCAACAGTATAAATTCTCAACCCTAACTTCAGTGCATCTACTGTAGCTATAGACCTATAATAATAATGTCAACCCAACGAAAATATTGTCTTTACTGTCTAACAAGCTAGGCTAAGCTTTTGTTTGTCGCTGATGGTCGGCGATGCACTCATAGATGATTGTTTATCATAGACGGATTTTTGTTGGGTGCAGGGGGTGCTACCCCTCCAATATTAGCTATAACCCCCCAAACAAAATGTCCACCCCTCCAAAAAAAATGTCACCCCCCCCCCAATATTCGGCATATTAAAAAATAATTAAATAGTCCACTCCAACGTGCAGAGTGTTGATGATACAAAATAAACGTAGGAGTACACTCAAATAGAAAAAGACGGTGCAATACTCTGAAACTAATCACTCCTCGCTTGCATTCACTGGTTTATTGGAGCGATTGTAAAGTCTTGAAACTCTATTATCTCCCCTGAATAGAGTTTGCAGTGCCTTGCCATGCAAATAGCTTGCTTGCAAGGAACGTTTGGAATTTTTACGAACATTATTTTTAGTTTTTGATTCTTTTAGGAAATAGACTTGCCTAGATTTAATCTTTACGCCCCAAATATTATTTACATCGGAGTTGCATCATAAATTGTACTCGGATTCAAAATTTCAAACGACCTTATGTCAATGACTTTATAAAAATAAAAGCATATTGTGTATTGGCTTATTGGGTTTACACTTTTACAGGTTCATTTAACTTTAACTCTCCCAAGTCTCAACAGACAATCAGACATGCCAAATCCATTGATATGACAACTTCAAAAAACTTTTTCGAAGCCAGAAATCATGATTTTTTCAAATTTTTCCTGGGATACTTTGTTTTCTGCTCTCTAGACTCCCCCTCGCGGCACTATAGTGCTCCACCCCTAGAATATAGACCTTACTGGGGTTTGGTGACACTTTGTGTTGCTTCAGTCACCTGCTCACGGCTCACCCCCCTAAAATTTCTGGCACCACCCCAGTAAAAAATATGAAAATCCGTCTATGTTGTTTATAGGCTAGTGATCATTGTCCATTGAAGGAGAAAAACTACTGTATTTCATGTCTAGACAAAAGATTTTACTCATCAATGAACAAAGACAATGGTACTTTCACTGAAAGACCATCCCAAGGAATGAGTATCAATTAGCCATTTGCAAACGGATTCAGTACCAGACTCCTATACCGTATTACTTTTTGTTTGTGGAAACACCAAATTAAATTTATTACCGCAAATTAAGCAAAGTAATAAATTTACATGGTGTTTCCACAAACAAAAAGTATTATATGTTTTATCGCCATGCAAACCTACAAAAAATTCTTTAATCAGTATCTTTTCCAGGGAAATCTGCCATGTTATAGTCTGTTTGAAGGACCGGGGGTGGCCCATGGGGGGATGGGCATTGCTGGCATTGACTGATACATAATGCCTGGTTTCAATTTACAACCTTGCAAGGCAGGCTCTCTACTTCCATTAATCCCTCCCAAACAAGTAGAGCTGTGCAAACTCCGGTTATTTTAGCTCCGGCAGTCAAAACTCCGGCCAGGGTCTGAAATTTTCAGTATCCCGATATCCATGGGATACTAAAATTTGGTTTTGGATGCCAAACTGTCAGACGTTCCAACTTGACATCTCCAAAAATCGGGAGGTCTGGTAAAGGCAAGAAAACGTTGACCTCTAGTGTGACTGGGTAGATAATTTAGAAAATTTAAACTTTCTTTCAGAAGCGCCATTTCTTGATTCCGAGACTCGTGAATACAACAACTGTAAATTTCCGCCTTTCATGCGAAATATTACGGAACTTTGTCGTACAAAACACCCCTCTTGGCGAAATACCGCTTTTTTGTCGATCCGACAACCGTTTTTACCGTACGCGAATTAGTAACATTTTTTCTTTTCATTCGTAAAATTGGGAGGTTTAAATATAAATCGGGAGATCGGGAGATTTGCCAACAAATCGGGAGCCTCCCGATCAAATCGGGAGGGTTGCATGGAAGCTTTGAACTGTTTACACTCCTGATGAATAAATACCTATCTCGCACTCTTTGATCACGACCAACTGACATCTTCCACTCCTCTATGTATCTCTTTCTACCTCTTCTCTCTTTTCATCTACTGTGCTTCTAACCTTCCATTTCTCTTTTCTATTTCATATATTTTGTATGTTCTGTAATATTTAGTGGTGTGCACCCTGCATGGGACCTGGTCTCGTTTGTGCTTCGCCTCTTTTGGCACCTGTTGTTTGATGTTGTCCATATGTTTCTCAAATGTAATAGTCTATATGTGTATTATTCATGTGTCAAAATAAACCTTAAATAATAATAAAAATAAAAATAATAATAATAATAACAAAGTGGCAACCTGCAAAATCCCCAACCTGCAAAATTCCAACCTGCAAAATTCCAACCTGCAAAATTCCCAACCTGCAAAATTCCAACCTGCAACCTGCAACCTGAGTTTTGTACCTGCCGGAATTCATTCTGCCATTGTATGTTTTGCCTAGCTGCAAAGTTTAGCGCTTAGATACCTTTTCCCTACCCACCCACCCATGTTTATTCTAGAGGATTTTATCTGGTAGTATGTCATTTTATTCTATTATTATATAATTTTTATATATATAATTTTTAATCTTGCATAAAATAGGATGTATAGACCACTATACATTGTATTTTGTTTCCACTGACTTGTCAGTGTGACTGGTGCCGGAGGTATGCCTTGGCAGAATTGTCATGGCTATCTCCTTTTGCTGCTAATATTCACTGAATGTTGCTCTCGTTGCTGCGCAGCTGCTATGGCAATACTTCTTGTCAGTTCCATATTCATATTTAATTAATAATTAACACTATAAAGCCTGGGTATCCCCACTTGACGAGTAAAAATGAAAATGGGGGGGGGGGTAAAAGAAAAATATTTTAATATGTAGGGGGGTCATCATTAAATTTCTGCTCTTTTAAGGGGGGGGGGGCTTTCAATATTAAAAATAATGACCTGTCCCTTAGGATATAAAAATTTTAGAACCCCCTTGGATGTGATTTTTGGAAGTTACCCCTTTAGGATATCTTAATTTATACCCCCTTTAAGATATCGTTTTTACCCCCCTTGGATATCACTAAAACACCTCATTTTTGCTATTTTTTGGAAAATTTCCAGGCCTTAAAATATCTTTTACAGGGCCCTCTGACAAAATGTCCGGTGACGTTGAGTTTGGGTCGGACATATGTCTGATGACCTTCAGTTCAGTTTTGACTCGGAAATAAGTCTGAATGACACAAATGAATAAACTGTAAATGTTGTAAAGATATTAAATAATTTGTTTCTTTCATACTTATTTCCAAGCCAAAATTAACTTGCTTGCCAGAACAGCAGTATTAAAAAAGACTTCGACAACTTAAGCCCGTTTTCCACTTCACCATTTCGCTCGCCGCCCCGCGCTCGACTACGTTAAAACAACATTTCCAGTTCACCTTTTATACAATAGTACTCTGATTTTCCATTTAACATACAAGCCTCTAGTCCTGGGCTAGGATACATTTTGATTTACGTCGGACACAGCTACAGTTCGGTCGGACATCAATTCACTCGGGTCGGACAAACAATAAATCTCAGTTTCACTTTGGTCGGACAGAATATCCGGTGGTTTCCTCTCTACGACGGACAATTTCACGAATGGGTCGGACAATGTCTGTGACCGACCGATATTTTAAGGCCTGAATTTCTTAAGCTACCCTCTAGGAAAATTCCAGGTAACCCCCCCCCCCCCCAATAGGATTCCAGACCCCTCAATAGGGGGTGCCTATATTAAATGGAATGGCCCAATGTGTGCACATGCATGTCTATAGAAATTGTTTATTAATTTTCTACTTTAAAGCATTGAATTTTATTTTACAATCTTTGTCACATGACCGGTTTAACCCACAGAGCTAGTTGCCCCTTTACGGGTAACCTGCTAATGCAATACTGAAATATAGGTTAACACAGTGGATATATCGCTTCAAAATCGCTAATCACTGAGACGTTTGATTTAATGTGGTCCTGAGCAATTCTAATCATGTGGATCGAATTGAGTGCCAGTGCTCTCTCTGCTTAGATAGACTAAATAATTAAATTGGGTGCATGAGGGTGCAACACAACTTAATGGGTTAATTAGAGCCATGGGCAGATAGTTGAACACCAGACTGGAAAGTTTGGAAATTGCGCGCCGGAGATTTCGAAAATTTAATAGTAAATATATAGAAAGCATCAAAATTGCGCACCAGAGATATCCGCCGCGCAATACAAACTTTCCACACTGGGTTGAACAGAATAGAAGGTAGAGAAGAGCACATGCATCAGGGATTCAGTGTGAAATGCAACTTAATGGCTTAAATACAAGAATTAGATTAAGATTCTATAAATTGTATTTTATATCTAACACAAATTTCATACCTGGCTTTTTCGTGAACCTACTTTCATAGATCGCTTAATCTCTGCCATCATTCTTCTTAAAGATTTTAACAAATATAAAATATCTAAAATTCTGTAAACCTAAACTTTTTACAACCACTTATATAATACAATTTCCGGTCAGGGAATCAACCGTGACTTCCGGTATAAGGACTGGTGACAACTCCACTTGCACACGAAAAATCCGCCATCTTGGAAAAGTATTAGTAGTTTGTATTGAAAAAGACCATCGAAAAAGGCAAGTTATGGCGCTATTTAGGTCAGTTAAAGCTTTGGATATACTAGCTCGTGGTTCAAGGAGTATCTGGGCTTCATCAGCGGTTCCTGCTAAGCAAAATTTGGATCCTATACAAGAACTTTTTGTGAACAAGTTGGCCGAGTATAAAACGAAGAGCAAAGGTGGAAAGTTGGTTGATGCAGGCGAGGAAGCAGATGCGAGAAGAGAGAAAGAAATAGCTCAGTTACAAAGAAGATATGGTGGTGATTCTAAACAGCTTGAAGAATTCCCAAAATTTAACTTCGCGCAACAGTAAAGAGTTTTAGACTATACCAATATCTGAATATATGTGGTTGACTACTTGACTGTTCACTGTTCTTGGACAAATGGCTGGTGTTAATTAAATTTATAGTACTCTGAAATAATAGCTGAGTTTTTAAACAGCTGCGTGTGTCAATTCTGTATAAGCTTCTTATATGTGATGTTATAATTTATACAAAACTATTAAACTAAAACTGGAATATAGCTTTTAGGCCCTTTTATTGTGCAATATATTGATTAATATGGAATTTGGGTATTAGGAACCTAAGGATTAAAGGTGAACAGATGTAGATAACAGCATTGCATATGCTCATGCAGAACATTCATGTTTGTTAATGTGCAGAACATTCATGTTTGTTAATGCACAGGTTTTGATATAATCAGCTAATCAAGTCCAACTTGCCTCACCATGTCCATGATGACAAAGCTGAGCTACAGTAACTTAATGAGTTGCCCTAATCTGAGTCTTACTGCAACCTGCAAAATATTGTTTGCCTAAAAAGATTGCGATGTAAGTTGCAGGGAAAACAGACCGGTTGCAGTTGGCCTAAAAACACTTTGCATAACAATATCAGAATATCTGGAGAGCTGCGAACTGACTGTTTTGTCTTTATTATTTAAACTCCTTTGTTCACAAATCCCACAGCTTCCCAGTCACTTATTGTAAATTCTCAACAATTTTCAGTAGTGGGGAGTGTAACCCCCCTCCCCCCCCAAAGAAAAGTAAAAAAGGGGGCCCAACTTGCTTATTAAGGAATTTTATTAAAAATTGAGGTCGAAAAAGATCTGAAAAAGTATTTTTAAGACTACCCTGGTTCCAGAGGCTCTTTGCGAGGCGAAATTAACGAAAGGCGAGAAGGAAGAGCCTTGCAAAGAGCCTCTGGAATCAGGGTATTTTAAGACCCCATTATCTCAAACTAGTGTTTGGAAAAAATTTGAGGACGTTTTGTTTTCGGGACCTAAAACGTCGAAGTTCTCCTTGTATTTTTCAGGTAGTTGAATTATCCTATCAATCCGCAGCTTTCCACTACCTCTCACTGACTTAGTACGCATGAAACGCATCTGATTGGTTGATGGTCCCTTAAGCCAGTTTTCCACTTCAATCGTACCGAAACGTAGTGTATTTCTTTAGTTTCCAGAGCGGTAGTATGGAACTAATGACTTGGACACAAAAGAAAATGCTACGGTACGTTACGATTGAAGTGGAAAACAGGCTTTACTGGTAGCGGTAGTCAAATCTGAACCTCTATAGTGGCACTACCTACGCTCATAGTCTTTCGAGACATGTTCTGGAAACTCGGTAAACTTCAAAGCGGTTATAATGAGCTGTGTGTTTGTTGAGCCGTACCTTACACCGTGCACATCCTTTGGCTTTGTTTTAGGTTTATTAATATCTAAATAGCATGGTTGAATGACTGAACTGAAACGTTGCTATTGGATGATTCCTTCATTATACTGAAACACAATGGTCAATGTGTTCATTAACCGTGCACCGTGCACAAAACTGCATAAACGCGAACAAAAAGATAGAACAAAGACTGTAGGGGAGTTTCCAAACCATGTTTTGAAAGACGCTACACTACACTACACTGGCACCGTTCAAGGTTATAGCCTGCGAGAATATGCTCGCAAGGTGTGAGAGCATGCTCGCAAGGTTATAGCCTGCGAGAGCATGCTCCTGTAAGGCTGTAACTCACAATGCAATTTCTGACATAGAGCTATGTTAGTCAAAAAGTAGTTCAGGGAAATGGTGAGCATGGCGTACTCATCCTTGTATGCAGGCTCTTCCCCCGTGTCCGAGATTGCAGCGTATTCTGCCGCCATTTTCATCCAATCATCCTCTAGTTAGATAATCATCCTCGTCATTCAAGAGTATATATGTTATTCAAATGAAGTGTTAGCCAATAAAGTGTCGGCATAGTAGAATGCCGGCCATGCTCATAAGACTCCGCGGCTGTGTATCCAAAGTTTATTACGTTGCCCAGATTATCAAATTAATAACATGGCCCAGATTATCAAATTAATTTAATAGGTTATCTTAACAATTTACTAGACAATATTACAATATCCTAGCGCCTATGGGCAACGGCACTAGTGTGAACAAGACTCAAAGACCCACGGGATGCACTCTTCCTTTTTTAAATTTACAAAGATACATACAGAGCGTAAATCATTAGAAAAGTAAATGTAAAAAGTAAGAGAGGTAAATCATTAGAAAAGTGATGGGGAAGGGGAAAATTCGCAGAAAAAACAAAAAAAATCGTGCAAAGAGGAAAACAGTAGACAACTTGCATGTTAGATTAATTTTTGATCTAGGCAAAAAAGTAGATTCCCGTAAAGAACTTATCCGAAATTAGTAAAATTTGTTAAAATTTCATTATGTTCCTTTTAGCTGTGGTGTTCGATTCCCTTCTTTTTACTTAGATTAAAATTTCGTTGTCCATTCATGCAAACTGAAATCCCCCCCCCCCCTCCCCCCATATAGTCCGCCCCTAAAAACGTGCATGAGCTTTATCTGATTTATTGCAGTAAAACCGGAATTGTGCATGTGTAACTTTACAGAGAGTGACTTAAGAATAAAATTATTATATGTATAAAAAATAAGTGCACAGTTATAAAACGTGCACTAAAGTGAAAATTCCGCAAAATATGTGACAACTTTATGTTAGCATGGGTAGTTTGGGGGTCTTCTGGGATTTCTACCAGCAAATTCGCCGGAAAATTACATTTTCGAGTGCGGCAAGGCTGTTTTTCTAAACCACTTTAAACGAGACTGTAAAATGGCTTGCGCAATTTGAATTCATGGGGTGCAAATTTGAAAGCTGTTTTATGAACTATCAATTTGATGTACATCAAGTCCATCAAATTGATAACATCAAAGTTGGACTTTTTGCCATAGTAGCCTTTCACGCATAATTTTTCAAACTCACGACTGATTTTAGGCATGACTGGATTTTATGCATTGTCTGTATAAGGAGAATTTCGACGTTTCGAGCGAAGGCCATGCATTTGTCTGGAGTTACTGAAGACGAATGGCCTTCGCTCCAAACGTCGAAATTCTTATATTTTTAGGTGGTTGCAGCATCCCTACCAAAGAAAACTTGTTATTTATATTGGTACTATACGGTCACACTACCTACACTGGCACAGACAGTTCATAATTGTCTGATAGTCTGATAAATAAATAACGGTTTAATTAAACCTTCCATTTTTGTGAGTAAGCCATTTTTAAAGCGGTTTTAAAAAACAGCCCTGCTATAGACTCAAAAATTTACTTTAGAATAATTTGAGATACCAGAAGACGTCATGCTTTCTTGAATGTGACTCGGACTTCTTTTTCAGAGTCGTCTACAGTTACGTCATCGTGTTTTCCAATTACAACCCTGCCACTTTTAAAATTTAAAAAAATTCCGTAATTCTGAAGAGTGGAAAGTCCAATCGCATTCCAGTCGGGATCTTCATCTATATCAAATACTTGGACACCACCTCTGGCAATTGTATCAGATTCGACTTTGCATAAAATTGCTGGTTCAGGTTCGGCGTTAATAGTCCGCGCAACAGTTAATATAAAGTTTTTGATGATCTGATAGTTGTAACCAACAGAGCCGGAATCTGCACCAGTATCAAGTTTAAACGACAAGGGAAATCCCCCTTGTTCTTCACTACGTACGTTATGCAGTGTACCACGCATAGACGGGGTTTCCTTTTGACCAACTTTAGTAGAACAGCTCTCTTTCATTTGCTTTAATGATACAGCTGTACTTTTATCATTGTTTTTAATACAGACAACTGGAAATGGGTCTTTTGATATATCTTCCAATGAATAAGCTGCGCCGTTGGCTTCACGGTTAGAACTACAGTTTAGTACTTTAAAATCGCCTTTCGTGTCGGTGTATACGACAACAACTTTATATTTTAAAGAGGGGCGATTTTCCTGGTAATATTTATGGAGTTTTTCGTACTTCTGAATAGTGATTTTTTTTAAACTCTCAAACGTATAACTCTCCTCGTTACTTAGGTTGACTCATCAAGATCTTTGCATTCTTGCGAAGTTGTTGAGGCAGATTCACTCTCAGAGTTGTCGGAGCTAGGAACCACAGAATCATCATATAGGACTGATTCATCAACATCGTTATATGCTTGGGAGGTTGTTGCGCTTTCTTTCTCAGAGTAAAAAATATGAGTAAAATCGTAAGAACCATCCCCGACAGTTTGGTCAACATTAATGGCTTCTTTCACTTTCTTCTTATGATAACTGATGTTATTTTCAGAGTCATGTAGGGTTGACTCATCAAGATCTTTGCATTCTTGCGGAGTTGTTGAG